ACTTGGTGCCGCTCCACGCCAGCAGCGAGTAGAACGCCGCCATGAGCAGCATCAAAAACAGCCGCAGGTACTTGACGCCCTTTTCGGCATTGACTGTGACGCCTAGCACCGACACGGGCTCGTACAGATTCGTCCCGGTGGTGGTTTGGACAATGTAAAGAACAAACATCCCCGACGACAGCGTGCCCGCCACGTTTTTGCACAGCTCGATGTAGATCGTACCTCTGACCAGCGACTCGATGTCGCTGTTGGTCATGGTTGTCCGGTCGTAGGTCGAGATGCTCTTGAGGTAGCAGAGCATAATGAGACTAAACACGTGGTGGATCGAATATCCATACCCGATAAAATCTAGACTAAGGGGGGTATATTTTTTGGAATGCGCCAGACAGTGCAGCAGATGCCACAGCGGGTAGGCAAGATACAGCAATATCGAGACCGCCGCCAGCCCGATAAAAACAGTGTTGACATACACCATGGTATTGATATTCACACATCCCGCATACGACAGGTGGAAATCACAGTACGTAAACAGAAAGGAAGTTTCGTTCATTTGATTTGCCAAGCAGTGTGACGTGCGCGACAGACGTTCGCAAGTCAAACAGAATTTATATTATTATTCGGATCATCTGGGAATCGGTTATTGCGGAGGGATAAACGCATTAAAGGTGGAGAAAAAGATTTGCTGCAGTGCCACCGCATCGTTGTACACATCGCTTCCTTCTTGATTATACGTCATGGCGTTTCGGAACATGAGCTGGAAGTCCTGCGCACAGGCCTGCGGGCTGGTGTAGTATGGCGAGTTGATTCGGTGCTGGATCATGTCGAGAGCAATGGGATTGGTAATCACATGGTAGTAGTCGCTGTAGATTTGGCGATCAGGCAACTCGAGAAAGATCTCGGCACGGCGGCGAGTGAACCTACGGTTACTGCCGTCGGACTTACTCTTGGCCATTTTCATCGGTAAAGTCCACCTCGGCCGTTTCCACGGCATTGAGACAGGTCATCAGCACTTTGGTCAGGTTTTCCCGCGACTGGGGATCCAGCGTCTCTGGCATGTCGGGATCGACTCCGGCAAAGTGCTTCTTGGCCTTGACGACCTTTTTCTTCTTTTTTGCCTCGTCCGTTGCCAACGCCAGCTTTCCCTCGTCGGCCAGTCGCTTGCCCGGGCCCTTCAGCGAGGGAGAGACAATGTCGTCCTCGGGATCGGGGAGCTCCAGCGGATTTGCAGGGACGTCCTCAAATGCTTCGGCATCGCTGTCCACCTCTTCGCCTGCTTCGCGACGGCGGCGGTGGTCTTCGTCGCGGCGTTCCTTGTCCTCCTTTCTCTTTTTGGCCAGCTCCTTTTTGCGTTCCATGAATTCGGTGAGGTTTCCTTCGTCCACCGCGCTCAAGAACTGGTCCTCTGTCAAACCGTCGTCGTATGTGACTTCTTTGCGAGCACGAGCCCCACGCCCGGTAGGAGCCTCGATCTTGGGTGCATCGGGCTCATTCACGTCAACGAGAAAGACGTTGGGGAGCTCTCCGTCCTGCATGAGGCGAGAGGGGACCGGAACCGTTCCGTTTTGGCTCTCTCTGCTGGCGTTCCAGTCAGCCAGTTCCTGGGCACGTCGCTCGGCATCCATTTTGTTGTACCACTCCAGCTCTTCTTCGTTGCGCGCAATGATTTCGTTCAGCTCATTGTCTTCGATTTCGCCTTCTCGCTCGGCCTTGGCATCTGCCTCGTCGTCGTCGTCTCCTCCCAGCAGACTTCGCAGCAGCTCTTCTCGCTCGCGGTCCGACGTTTTGTTGTCAAACTTTCCGGCCTGAATGACTTTGCCGTCCAGGTCGAGCTTGTACTGCGCACGCTGCAAAATGTTTTCTTCGATCGACTTTGATGTCACCAGACGCAGAATGCGGACTTCCTTTTTCTGTCCGATTCGGTGCGCTCGATCCTGGGCCTGCAAGTCCTGGTGCGGGTTCCTAGCGTGAGCACTGCCGACATTACCAATCCGAATCGTAAATAATGACGGTGTCTGCAGTCTGCAGGTTCAGTCCGAGACCACCGGCACGGGTGGACAGCAGAAACAAAAAGGGAGGCTCCTCCGACTTGTTGAAGGTTTTGAGCATGTGGGTACGCTCGTCGGCCTTTGTGTTACCATCCAGACGGAGATAGGTCATCCCCTTCCATCGCAGATAGTCCTCCATGATGTCCATGACCTGGGTCATTTGAAAGAACATGAGGACACGGTGGTCGCGGGACTTTAGCTTGGGGAGGATTCTGTCCAGGAGCTCAAACTTTCCGGCCGCTCGAAACAGGTTTCTGTCGGTCTCGTGGTACGGATTCAGCAAGTCTTCCACCTCTGGAAACACATACGGATGGTTGCAGATCTTTCGGAACTGCATGACCAGGTTGTTGAGTGCCTTTTTGCGCACGAGGCCGTCGCCGCCAAACTTTCTGGCTCGGATCTGTGCATACAGACGGGACTGCAGGGCGGACATGGGGCACTTGATGACAGTCTCCACCTTGTCTGGCAGCTCCGACTCGACGTCCTTCTTCAGCCGCCTCAGCAGAAACGGACGGAGAACTTTGTGCAGACGACGGATAATCAAAAGCTGCTCTTCTTCGTTGAGCTCGATGCGCTCGTTGAGCGACGAGGCATTGAAGGGAGAGTTGAACCATTCGTCAAACGACTTGACAGAGTTGAAGATTTTGGGTAAAATAAAATTCAGCAAGGCCCACAGTTCAGGGAGATTGTTTTGGAGCGGCGTGCCCGTAAGGATGAGACGGTAGCGAGACGTGTAGTACTGCATAAGCGTCGTGGACAGCTTGGAGTTGGCGTTCTTCATACGGTGGCCTTCGTCAATGATCATGTGGACCCTAGCGCATCAGCAGGGCGGGCTTACCATTTCACTCTGCACAGTGCCGGACGGTCCTTGGGATTGATGATGTATTCGTACGTCGTCAGCAAGACGTTAAAGTTTCCTTGGCGGACCAGGTTCGACAGGTGTTTCCGCTCGTTGGGCGAGCCCTTGTAGACAATCTTGGTCACCGACGGAGCCCACTTTTCAAACTCGAGCACCCAGTTCGTCATGGTCGACAGCGGCACAATGACCAAAAAGGGACCGGGCTGCTTCTTCTTTTCAATCAGATACGTGATCAGCGAAAGCGTTTGGATGGTCTTACCGAGCCCCTATGCGTCAGTCCGTCCGGCGTACCATTTCGTCGGCAAGGATGCCGTTTAGTCTATTGTTGTATAGAGACACCATCCACTGGAGACCCTTGACCTGGTACTCCTTCAGGGTACCGCCAACCAAAAGGGTCGACTGCTCCGTAACAATTTCTTGGATCTTGTGGGCCGTTGCGTAGTAGTCCTTGGGAACGTTGGCATCGTCGGCGTCGGGGATGTTGTCCATTGGGATGTCGCCCACCGAGCTCTTTTGGGTCTCGACCGCGTTGGTGAGCTGGGTAAGAAAGGTATTGGTCTGCTCGAGAATGGTCGTGATTCGAGTGTCTTTTGTCTTGTCCAGGAGCTTCAAGTACGCTTCTTCGTCGTTGGCCTTGAGGGCATTCAAACGCTCCTGCGAGTGACGCTGCATTCGCTTTTCCTCCTCTTTGACAGCAATGGCGTGGAAGCGCAGGACAGCACCTCCCAGTCGTTGGTGGCGGGCCATTTGCGTTCGGTGGAAGCCAATCCAGTCGCGGCCGTGGGCAAGAATGGAGTTGACATAGTCCAGGTGTTTCTGTCGTTCTCGCTTGTCCTTTTCTCCCCGGAGCGCACGTTCTTGCTTCTCCGTTTGGCGAGCTAGAGTCAGCGGCCGGCGCAGTACCTTCACGCAGCGATTGCTTCTTCATTCTTCTAAAGACGCTTCGGTCGAGTGCCGTGGCCAGAGTGGACGCCTTGGAGAGAGAAGCCAGGATTTCTCCCCGCAGCGTCTTTTGCTTTTCCAGCAGCTTCAGGCTCTTTAGCTCGATCAGCGCCTTGATTTTTTCTTCACCATCCAAGTTCGGTCCAAGCTCTGACAGCTCCTTGATGCGATGCTCCACACGGACCCTGAGGTAGCGTTCTCGCTCCAGGGCCAGTTCCTTGGGATCGATGGCATGGGGCAGCACTGCCGGGAGCAGGAGTCGCTGGTTCTGCTCCTGCGTGGTGGACTGCTTTCCATACAGCGAGGCGGGGTTCTTGACGGCCTTTTCAACTCGGAAGGTAGAGTCGATGATTTTCTGCGCAACCGAGTCGGCGGTTTGGCCTGCAGCCAGCGGATCCTGGCCACCACTCAACACCAAATTTTGCAGCGGCGTGGGAACGGGTTCGTTGGCCTGCAGATGCTTTAGCGCTTGCGTTTGAAAACGCAGGTTGTTCATTTGCTGCTGGTTCAGCATTCCGTTGCCTTGGGACTGCTGCAGCTTGCCCTGCATCATTTGGTAATATCTAGTGCTATTAGAGCCTGCCGGCTAGCTACCTAGCGACTTAGAGCGATGGGACGCAACCTAGGTGTTGGCCGGGCAAAACTTACCTTATGATGGAAAGCAGGCGAGCAAATTCGGCATCGGATTCCTCTGTTGCTCCCTGAGCTTTTTTCTTCTGGGCCAGCTAACCGTGAGCGTTCCGAAGGACCAACCATCACCACTTGCTGCAGCTGCTCGGGATTCATGACGGGAATCCCTGCTGTAGCTGGATTGGTGTTGACTTGGCCCGGATGGATCATGGGGATCGTTCCAGGTGGGCGAAACGGGAGCATCTTTTCGAGTTTTGGTGCAACCTTGAACGGACGCTTGGCGTGCAGGAAAGGAAACAAGAATGGAATTCAAAATTTGCCATGCCGAATAAACGCTTGATCGGCTCTTTCTGCATCTCTCTTGGCCGGCCTGGCGGCTGGCGACACCCGCGGCACCGAATGCGGCTGTTTTTGCTGGCCGGCCCAACCAAGGCCAAAGCAAGGCCAGGGCTGGCATCGGCAGGTCGTGGCTGCAGCAGAAAACTAATTCTGAGTCTTGGCGTATGGATGTGCCTCGTCTTTGTCGTTTCATAGTGTAGGGGTTATCACGACAGACTTTGAATCTGTAGACCCGAGTTCGATTCTCGGTGAGACCTTTTTTGTCTGGAAGCCTTTTTTATTGCTACGGATCACTGGTAGATCACCTCTTCGGCAGCCACGCCTTCAGCTGCCCCGGCAACATCAGTCGGGTTTCCAGCAACCTCCCCAGCAAGCTGTCCAGTGGCTCCCCCGGCAACCCCGCCGGTGACGTTTCCAGCAACTTCGCCGGCAGCTTCTCCGGCAGCTGCACCGGCAGCCGCAGGCCGCATTGGTCGTGGTAATTTTTTCCCGGTGACGCGCTCGAGTGCCTTTCGTTTGGCCCACTCGGCGGCTCGGCTCAGCCCATCAAAATCGTTTCGGTTTTGTCGTCCATCGTTCCGATTCATGCTGTATTTGAAGGCAGCATAGTCTTTTTCTTTCAACGAGAGATCTTTCCACTCTGGTGTCGATTCAAGGTTGTTGCGCATGTTGGAAGCTCTTTCAAGCACGCCGTTACCATGGGCCAGCGTCGACATTCCAAAATCTACCGGCACGACATCTTTGATGTTTCGTCCGCTGTTTGTTCGCTGGAGGAGCCAGTTCTTGCTAAATGCATCTACAGATGAGCTGGCAGACACGCACCTCCGTGGTAGACGCCTTTTGCGTGCATGCCATCAAATCTGTCTAGTACTATCCGCTTGGCCTGTTTTTTCTCTGCCGGGCTCAGGTTGGCATGTGCCAGGTTGGTTCCCTCAATCTGTCGTGAGCCGGCGAGTGCTTACGTATTGCATCGGAACCCTGACCTTTCTCTTGGTTGCATCGGTTTCCATTGGGCCAACTGTTCGCCCCAGTCGTTCGGCCACCTTGTACTCGAACTTTGCAATGTTTCCGGTCTCGTCATTGGTGCCGGGGCCATACTTTGAAACCTTTTCTGCAATGCTGTTTGTTGGGTTATGGACATCGACGTATTTGGAAACTTTTCCAAACTGGCCGCTTCCAAGCAAGTTTTCCTTTTGGTACATTCTATTTCCCCAGTTCTTGTACTTGTGACCGGCTTCCTGAGGCGATCCTCCAGCACTGTTTCTGGTATTTTCCTGGACCCTATGCAAAGGGAATGCGTGACTGTTCTCGTAAGTTACGGAAGGAGCTGGCCTATTGTTGTGCCTTTGAATACTAGGGTCTCCAAAATTGTTGCCACGGAAGTTGTTTGGGCTGTGTACTGGATTGGCAGTAGGGTTTCTGTACGGAAGAGCTGCCGACGATGCAGCGGAACCATCAGAGTTACGACGCGGTCTTGCAAGAGAGTCAGCGCGCAGTCGAGCGCTGTCCCGAGAGTTGGTGTAGCCAGAGTTTTGGCGCGATCGGTTAATGATGCTGTCGGAGCGCAACGTGGAGGCAGGATTAGCTAGCCCGTCCGAGTTACGACGAGGTCTAGCACTGTCCTGAGAGTTGGTGTAGCCAGAGTTTTGGCGTGATTTACCAGGCAAGCTGGGCAGGTTACTGAATCGTGATGACGAGGCTGGGGTTCCTAGACCGTCAGGCTTGCCGCGAAATTTGCTAGCAGGGTTGGTCAGAACATTGGAACGAAGCCATCCAGAGTTAGCCGCACTGTTGGTCTGAGGTTGGCGGTTATTTCCAGAGAAATTGACAGGTCCATTTGACATTCCCTTTGCTGGCATTGAAGTGGCAGCACCTTGTCCAGCAACACTGGCACCCATTCCACCTCTGTGTTGTCCGAAGAAGCTTTTGGGTTGTTTGGACGCTTGGCCCGTAGAGGGATTGGATGCAGATATTCGCGTATCTACGACGTTAATTCGGCAGATAGTTGCTACCACTGGTGGATGCGGTTCCTCCTTGCTTTCTCGTTGGCCTTGACCACAGTCGCGTGTCTAGCGTAAGCTGGCATCAACCATACCACTTTTGGAGTTCACTGCTCCGCCCTGATTTGCTGCAGGTCTGGGTGCAGAGATACGTGTGTCTAGTGTAAAGTAAGTTTATCGTACCACTCTTGGAATACGTCGGTGCTCCAACTGGTGCTCCAGCCGGTTGTCCAGCCGGCTTTGATGCAGATGTGCGTGTGTCTAGTGTAAAGTAAGTTTATCGTACCACTCTTGGAATACGTCGGTGCTCCAACTGGTGCTCCAGCTGGTTGTCCAGCCGGCTTTGATGCAGATATACGTGTGTCTAGTGTAAATTGGCCCTCTCATACCACTGTTAGAATATGCTGGTGCTCCAGCCGGTTGTCCAGCCGGCTTTGATGCAGATGTGCGTGTGTCTAGTGTAAAGTAAGTTTATCGTACC